TTCGGCATTCACACGTTGTCCTCATTCCGAAAATACCCATAATGTAGGGTATTTGACACTTTCTGAATGCTGATGGCCGCCATATTGGATTCCAAAGTGGTATCTGATATCGCTTTTCGGTCCCTGTTCCAAAAATAACCATATTGTAGGGTATTTGACACTTTTTCTGAAACCTTGTAGCCACCATATTAGAGTCCAACATAGCATCGCATATCGATTTTCGGTAGCCACGCGTTGTCTCCGTTACGAAAATACCCACATCTTAGAGTATTTGACACGTTTTATGAAACTTGATGACTGCCATCTTGGATTCCAAAATGGCGTCGAATATCGATTGTCGGCATCCCCGTTCCAAAAAAACCCAAACTATAGGATAGTTGACACTTTCTGAATCCTAATGGCCGCCATATTGGATTCCAACATAGCGTCTGATATCGATTTTTGGCATCTACGCGTTGTTCCCGTTCCGAAAATAACCATATCTTAGGGTATCTGACACTTCATAAAACCAATGGCCACTATCTTGAATTCCAAAATGGCGTCGGATATCGATTTTCAGCATTTACGCGGCATCCACGATCCTTACATACCCTATAGTAGGGTATTTGACACTTTTTCTGAAACCCGATGGCCGCCATTTTGGATTCCAAAATAACGTCGAATATCGATTTTCGGCACCTTCGCGTCGTCCCCGTTCCGAAAATACCCGTATTGTAGGGTATTTGAGACTTTCCTTGTCCCGAGTTAAGAATAGTTAAGCTGGGTTTAGGTCAGGCAAGTCGTTGATCAACTCAGTTGAATTCAATTAGCTTGAATACTTTGACAATATCGGTTTTATCATCTCTCTTTACCAAACTCCCCCTTTGGAGAGGGATGGTGAGGGGTGTCCCCATGCTGCCAGTGCCAGTTGTTGCCAGGGCGGGGGACACACCCCTCACCATCCCTCTCCAAAGGGGGAGTTTGGTAAAGAGAGATGATAAAACCGATTTGTACCTTTCTAAAAGTTGTGCTAGCTCGCTGTCTACTCCTCTATATGCAATTTTCACACTGCCGTACTCTAAACGGAACTATCAATTCTATACTTTCATCTCCCCACTATCGTATGAAAATTACCACTTCAGTCTGTTATTTGAAATTAGCACCTTCAACTATGTAGCTTGAATAGTTGAGTCAGGATCAACTTTTTTTCAATTCGAGTGAGTTGATCAAGTCGGTTAAATGTCATGGTTTACAGGTTAAAAAAATTGAAAAATGTGTTCTTAACAGCTTGATTAACTCAGAGAACTAACTAGGTGACAATTTAGGCTAATGGTCTTGCTTGGGAGGATTTTTTTTTGATTGCTTGGAGTAGCACTTTAATGATTGAAATATACGTAGACAGCATAGAGCGGCTTTGTTGCGTATTATAATAGGTGTTCATTGGAAACCTGGTTAGCTCGTGAAATTAGTTTCTCAGTGAAGTTTTAGTATTGTAATGTTGCTGCTATTGCAATTTAGATGCAACTTACTTACAGACTTTTGAAGGTGAAAGCGCTGTATTTACCATTTCCCACTGGAGGAATCTGCCCGCTAATTAGCTTTTGCTTGAGCGTATTATCCGGAATAATTTCCTTGCGGAGCTGTTGCAAAATGTGATCAAGCTAAACAAATATAATAGGATTAAAAACAAGTGTTTCATATGCAAAATGCAGAGTGACCAGTGAACCGGGAAAACCGGAAAAAGCTGACAAATCTGGAAAATTAGACCTCGTCCTCGTTTCGAAAACAGTAAGATAGACCTATTAAGAGAATTTTAGAATTCACAACCAAGGTATTTCAAAGAATATTTTCTAGGAAGCTTTAGGAAAATCGCTAAGAGAGTTTTTACTAGGACTCCCAAAAGTGAAGAGGATTCCAGGATGGGTGAAAAATACCTGGGGAAGCAAATTTGAGGGTACAATTCTAAAATAATTCTGCGAAGATCTATAAGGAAATTCCGAGGATAATTCCAAGCGCATTTCGAATGGAATTTCTAGACAATTTTAATGAGAATTCCATGCAATTTCCAGTAGAATTTAGAGGAGAACTTCAAGATAATTCTGAGCAAAATTTAAAGACAATTCTCGGCGGGAGAATTTTGCCTGCCCGATGGTGTTGGCAGGGAAGGGGGATTACAAGTTTTGCTTATAAAAGCAAAGTAATTGCATGAGAACTCTACTGAGAATTTAAAACAAATTTAAAAAATTAAACTCAAGTGAATTCTTAGAAAGAGTTTAAAATTCGAAGAGAATCTAAAGACGAATTGTAAGACTTTTTTTTAGAGCTTTCTACAGAGAATTTCTGGACAGTTATAAATAAATTTTCAAGGGACTTCCAGAGAGAATTTCAAATTCATTTTAGAAGAATTCTGAAAAGAACTTTAAATCAAATAAAAGTCTGTGAAGTTTTGAGCGAAGACTTAGAACGTGTCGCAGAACCAAATTCAAGATCCAGCAAAGGTGGTGCTGTCTTAGAAGTGATCCATTAAACCTTCGGCTCAATCGCATTCAGTTTTATGCTTAATTCAAATGTAAGACACGACCGTAGATTTGACGTAGGATTACGAGCTCGGTATCAATATTCGGCGACTGTGTTAGGGAAACCACTTTTTTTCCATCACGGAAACGCTTCGTTTTCTGATGGACGCACGCATTTTTTTGTTTGTTATTTTGTTTTGTTTTGCTAAAATTTTCCAATCGCGAGATATTCGCGATCAATCTAGCGTCCCTACCTTAATTCGAATTGTTTCTGGTTAATCGACAAGGTCATGTGGTATTCGGCCATTGCGAGAATTTGTATGTACCACTTCAATACTGTTACGCATTTGACCACAAACGTTTGATTGCTCGGTACATTATCAAAGAGCTTTGGGGGTGATGTGGTTGGCTACAAGACGAGCGAACGTTCATTTGTGGTGGTCCTGAAAAGAAACGTTTTGTCGGGATGGTTGAGTAATGCCGAGCTATTAGGGTATTCAACACGGATGAGGCTGGCGAGCTGTATGTTGTTTGGAACGAGGGTGACGCGCTTGGCATAGATGGCTCACGAAGAGCTACTGAATCCGATCAGTAACGGTACGGCTTCTTCCTCATTCTTGGGTGAATCGAGGGCTCTTGAGGGTAGCCTTTATAGCTAGCTACTTGTGGGGAGCCTTTCGTTGTGTACTGGAGAAAAATGTACAAGCACCGAAAGTACTGCTGTTGATGACCACCGAACACCACCACGCGGTGATTGAATAAACACCGTTCAGTGGGTTGGAATTTGATTTTGAAATCTGTGTTAGGGAAAGCGCTTTTCGCAGGTAAGCGGTGATAATTTTAATTATCATAGCAACAGTTGCACATTCGTGTAATTTCCAATAGTAACCTTGTGAAAATTGATAAAGTCTTAATTTTAACACATTCGTAGAAAAATTTCCTGTCGATTTGCCTATTGAGAATTAAAACCCATCATCTCTGGATCAAAATCAGACCACTTTCATGCTGCGACCGACTTTGGTTTTTGAAATTGCCCCCCCCCAATGTTGCCTTAAAAATACATGGTATGTTAGATTTAAACTTATGGGAACTGACATCCGATTGATGACCTTGACAAAAATTCCAGTAAATACTCTTTAGCAAATTTGTGGTGGTCCTGATAAGAACCGTTTTGTCGTGATGGTTGAGTTATGCTGAGCTATAAGGGTATTCAACACGGATGAGGCTGGTGAGCTGTATGTTGTTTGGAACGAGGGTGACGCGCTTGGCATTGATGGCCCACAGCGGTTCACGAAGAACTACTGAATCCGATCAGTAGCGGTATGGCTTCTTCCTCCTTCTTCGGTGAATGGATGCTCACGTGGGCTGCAGCTCGCTGGTGCGGGCAGCCTTTCTTTGTGTTCTGGAGAACAATGTTCAACGCCACGCGCCGAAAGCACTGCTGCTGATGACGGCCGACCGGACTTCACCATACCCGGTGAATGAATAAGCACCGTTGGGCGAAACCGGATGGAATTCGATTTCGAAATCTGTGTTACGGAAAGCGGTTTTTGCTTTTTGCAGCCAATCGGTTATAATTTTGAGCACCATTGCAACAGTTGAACATTTTTGTAATTTTCAATAGTGACCTATTGAAAATTGATAAAGTGTTTATTTATGATTCGTAAAATTTTTTCCAATCGATTGGCTAGTTTAGAATTAAAATCCATCCGCTATTGACAGTGTTATAAGTGGTCAAAACCTGACCTTTTTTCGTAACGCGGTCGATTTTGGTTTTTTTTAAATTGCACCCCCAATATGTTGCCGAAAGATGTAATCCTACACTGAAAAAAGTTTTCATATAGTTTCCATTGGGAACGCACATGATATTTTTCCAATAACAAATTTAATGATTTTTATCTGAAATTCACATAACATTAAC